TTCATCCCCAAGCTCCATGGGGCTTCACCTTCTGTGCACACAATCTCAACCCTGGTGTGCACATTGGGATGGGGTGGGGGCAAAGATGGCTTTGAGATAGCCCCCGATCCTGGGCCGCCTTGCCTGTGTGCCGGTCCAGTCCCCAGCACCAATCAGAGCAGTCTCATGCCTGCTGTCGCTTACGCTGGCTGCCAGTGACTCCAAGGGCCTGTTATGGAAGCTGGGGACAGGCGGGGTCCTGGGAAGCTCTGTCCACGCCCAGCCACACTCCCTAAGCCAACAGCCAGGAAGGGGTGTGGCAGAGGAGTTGCTATGCTGGCTCTGTGGGATCCCCGTCCAATGGGGTGATCTTCCTCTGGCCGGCTTTACGGCTGCCTTGTGCCAGGGGAACGACTCCTTGGGCTCTGTTAGTGCTTTGTCACCCGCACACTTCACCAGCCTCCTCTACAAATGTCTTGTACTCGGGCTCAGCCCGGGTTCTGGGCAGTACAGCAGGGGGGTGGTGAATGGTCATGACCTATTCGTTAATTGTTAATAAACAGCCGTAAGCCTTTCTAAAATAAAGGGTTTGTATTTGGCTTTCCCCATCATTTCCCATGACACACAAACCTAGCATTCATTCCAGCACGGTGTGTCATGACTTTCCCGTTCTCATTGTTATGCCTTTTGCACTCTTTCCCTCCACCCAAACCATGGGTTTAAGATGCCAGCCTGAAAAGGGGGATGGCAGAGCCTTTCATCTACGTTTGTAATGTGTAACAGCTGCTTTGGAGCTGCTGGGAAATGAGTTGGTGGGTCTCGGTCTGGTTACGCGGGAGCAGGTGTCCATATGATGAAACCACCACCCATACCGGCACCAATTAATTCCCTTGGTGGTCTCAACAGAACAGCCACGGAGTCCGAGCTCCCATCCCACCCTTAGGTTGGACTCAGTAGTCCTGTAGCAGCCCCCTGGGCTGTTTCACTGAGAGGGACGGCTGCTATCACAGCTAGGAAAACCGCCTCCATCAAAAACACATCCGTGCTGGGAACTGCACTCACCCTTACACCACTACGGCTTTAAAGCACCGGCAGAGATCCCCTTTCCCACCACTACTGCTGCTGTTTACAAACCTGTCACTTTCCGATTTCCTCCCTCCCCACCCTTTGCCCACTCCCCTCTCTCCAAATCGCTGGATTAAGATTTGGACAGCAATCAAATATGTAACATTTATCATCACAGCCTGATTTGGGCGAGTGCTACAAATCAGAGCCGCATAGACAGTGCAGGGCCAGAAAGTGTCAGCGCAAAATTCCCACCCAGCACGCTGCCTCAGGCGTTCCAGCTCCCATCTGCGAGGGTTCTGTCTCCTCCCGGGTCTGTGGGGCTACAGAAACGCAAGTGGCTCTCAGTGCATTGCAGACGTGTCTAGCAGGGCACTGTGGTGTACAGGACAGGAAATACACAAATTCCAGACATTAGAGAGACAAGGTGGGTGAGGTGATATCTTTTATTGGACCATCTCCTGGTGGTGAAAGAGACAGACTTTCGAGCTTACATAGCGCTCTTCTTCAGGTCTCTCTCACCAACAGAAGTTGGTCCAATAAAAGCTATTACCTCACCCACCTTGTGTGTCTAATATCCTGTCATCAACACAGATACAACAGTACAAACTCCAGCTATGTCCCTTCAAGGCAGAGATTTGGAGCAGACCCATGCCTAGCGGTCATTGCAGGAACCTCTCCGAGGATTCTAACTGGTTTCTTGTGGCTTCTGCTGGAAGATCAGCAACCAGCAGATCAAAGCACTTGTTGCTCTGGACAAATCCTAACTGCTAGCTGGAACCAGCCGGAGCCAGCTGGCACGATCTGAAATCCACACTAGGCATCCCTTGGGAGAGCACATGTTCTCTGGGGTGTCCGTGGTTCTGCGAGGGAAGGCCGAGTAGACCTCACTTGAGGTGGTACTAGGAGGGGCAGATGCAGTCCTCCTTGTTAAAATGCAGGGGTGGGTGAGCCCAGAAGTTCAGTGAATCCTCAGAGTGCAGATCTCTTCAGGGCTGGCACCGCCGGGCAGTTCAACACGGTCCAACACCACCAGACTATGTCTGCTGAGGTGAACCGGCTATAGGGTCATGTAGGGTGACCAGATGTCCCGATTTTATAGGGACAGTCCCGATATTTGGGGCTTTTTCTTATATGGGCTCCTATTACCCCCCACCCCGTCCCGATTTTTCACACTTGTTATCTGGTCACCCTACATGACCCTATAGCCGGTTCACCTCAGCAGACATAGTCTGGTGGTGTTGGACCGTGTTGAACTTCCC